CCACACGTATTTTCAAAAAAGCGTAAGCGAGACCTTTACATTAATTTTGATACTCTACACGATGGGCAAAGTGAAATTTTCGCGGCAAGATGCTCTGTATAAAGTGGGCGGACCTGTGTGGAAACAATCGATATTTAACGCAATCATCATTTCGATAATGTAAAAATAATTTCATCTTTTGATATATTAAACAATAGTACACTCAAAAAGAAAATTTTTGTCAAAAATGAATCAACAAAACACACATTTGTTTAAAAGATTTTTAGTAAAGACAGTAGCGAGCATAGGGCGGCGCTATTGATCAATATAACATTGGTAAATTTGATTAAGAAAATATCAAGGAAAGGCTACGAGAATGGACTTTTTGTACAAGTATGACATAAATACAAATGGCTTTCGCTAGTTTTGTTAGGTATTTGTTTGACCACGTGCGCAAGTATTACTTGGTACTTGGTACTCGTGTACTGTACTCTTGTTTGTAATTGGTGCATTATTGGCACTGTGGTAAAGTAGAGTAGAGAATGAAAAGAAATCGATCGAATGCAGTTTAGGTTCTCAAACAAAAAATATTCATTCATCAAAATTATCGTACATCGAAAGAAGAACAGTTCATAATGAAATTTATTAAGTTATTATCATTTTTAACAATTTTCAGTCTTCTATATTGTTCTTTAGGTACGTCGTTTCTCTTTGATGTTGATAAAATAAGAAAAGTGAGGCGAACACGTTAAGCGGATGGTTTTTTTGGCAAAATACGACGCTGATGTTTTTTCTACTGCTTTATGTCGGTTTTAGTAACGGCAATTAATGATGAAGTAGACAATGAAGTGGATATTGAAGACGAACCAATAAGACCGGAAGAGACAACAGCAATACCAGCAAGCGATGTTTTGGTATGTATCAGTCGGCATGCAGCTTTCCCTTAATATCTATTTTTCTTTTTAGCAAGAAGAAGTTGAAGATGACAATAAAGTACCTACGTCGCCCGATTTTCGTACGATTCATATGTTTATCCAACCACCTAAGTCAGGTATGAATGACTGGCTAGAAAAGTTTCATTGCCTCACTGATATTATAAAATGTGCGTTTTTTTCTCCTTGAATTTGTTCATGAAAGATCTCACGCCTATACCTTTGTTTAGAATTGATTGCTGGAAAAGTAACAAAAATGTTGATTGGCACACGAAATAATGGTTCTCAAAATTTCATCGTTGAAACTATTGAAGCATCATTTCGATATCCACAAGATTTTACCTATTATATACAAAATTTTTCAACAATTAGATATGAAAAAGTGTTAGAACCCGGTTATGAGTCAACATTTGAATACACGTTTGTTCCGAGTGAAAGATTTAATTCACGACCAGTGGGTTTTGTGGTGTTACTTAATTATCGAAATAGTGTAAGTGATATTTTTGTGTTTATTGTTGGGTAAGAAGGAATTCTCTGTTATTTTCGTCTAGGAAGGAAAACGCTTTCAGAATGAGGTGTTTAATAATACGATTAATTTTGTTGAAGCTGAAGAAGGATTCGACGGAGAAACGTATGTATTGTATATGCTAAGAAGAAGTAAATAACAACGTTGATTATTTTTTTTATATATTTAGATTCTTTTTATATGTATTTCTTGGCGGTGTTTTCTTATTATTAGCTGTATTGGCCTATCAATTCTTTGTATCGTGGCGTCCAAAACGCGGTTCAAGTAGACAAACAGCAAATACCGCACAAACAACAAATCAGACAAAAGGAAACTATGATTTAGATTGGATACCAAAACATCACTTAGTACAAAGTAAGAGTTTGTTAATAATGGTCTCGAGGGGAAGAACTAAACTGAAAACTATAAGAAATTTTTACAAGCGCATATTCATCGTTTTCACGAACAGAAGATTGTTAGATTTGTAGGAAAATATCCGATGAATTACACTTTTCTAGAGAACTTATTTATGGCACATAATATCAGAGAACAATCGGCATTGAATTTTCGAAAGAGCTCAACGAATATCATCTACATTTTTATTGTTTCGTTTATTACAATACTATTGCTAACATATTTTTATTCCTTTACAGATCGTTCTCCAAAAAAAAGTCCACGTCCACGTAAATCGCGACAGTCAGCACAAACTGGAGCACCAGTGTCAAGTGAAAACGAAGATTAGACAAAACTTTGTTAATTGGTGTTGGTTAAATATCGCATAATCAAATATTATCATCATCAACTTTCATAGTTTATAATAGTGACGTACCACATATATACGTTTTTTTTACTACTATCATACTCTTCCGTTCTTTGTTTTGTTGTTCATCTTATAATTTAAACAGAGTAGGATTTGTTCTACTTTTTCTTCTGAATATGAAAAAAAAATACAGTGACGTTGACTAGATCTTTCTCTCTCTATACTTGTTTTTTTACTGTTAAAATTGATTCTTGTTATTGTTGTTGTTGTGTTTTCTTTTTTTCTCGTTCTTAAATTAATTCTTTGTTGTTGGTGTTTTTATAGGAAGAATGATTCACATATTATAGCTCTCATAAGAAAAGTGCAGCTTCACGCGAAAATCCAAAATACACTGGTGGCATGCTAGACGGAAAAGATAAATGAAAACACGAATCGATTTATTGTTATATATTTTTATCCGTTTGTTCTTTATTTTTTCTTGTTTTTTTTCTATTTCATAGTTATAAGATTGATATTGTTGTTGTTAAAAGAAAAGCAAAGTCTATTTTAAAACAAAATTCTGCTAGTTACGTTGAAGATTTGTGCAATATTTAGTACCTCGATCAGAGAATATTGCACATCGACAACTCCTTTAGTTTCAACCAAAACAGTTGTAAAAAGAATCTGATGTACAATATTCTTCATAGTTATTTAGGAAAAAATGAGCTCGTACAAGAGTTACTGACAATTATAAAAATTAAACCTCATATACTTCTGCTATTGTCACCTAACCATTTCAATTTCACATTTTTGTCGGTTTTGAAATCTAAATAAATGACAAATGTCACGACAAGCATTATAAGTCAATTCACCATAAAGCGAACTCTGCGTTGTTTCTTTTCCAATAAAATACTTTCTGAAACATTGACATGTACAAAACATATTTTATCAAATTATTAATCAATTCATTCATGAACAGCTTAGTCTTCAGGCCTACTGTTTTACGATGATACTGAACAATTTATCTATTTCTCTGTTTAATATTTCATCTTTTATCTTAGATTAAGACACCATAACTATTAAACATGTTGTCATGTTTCATTTATGTGCGAGAGAATGGTTGTATTTTTCAAACAATATCGTGGTCATTTCTTTAAACCGTTGTTCCTGCTAGCGCGAATGGTAAGCTTAGCTTTTGAATCGTTGTTCTATTATTCTGAAAAAAGATTAGAAACTTCAATTAGCGTACGTACGCAAGAAAGTGCTTGGCACGTTCCGATTTTTCGGAAACGCAAAGAAAGTCGCTCACTAACTTAGTAACTATGTCTCTCTCAGTGTATTATAAGGTTCCTATGCTCATGTACATTCAATATACGCATTCTGTATCCATGTATATATTTAGACTTCTGCCAAGGTTAGATTAAGTCAGATGATGTGGAAATCCAATTTTATATTTATGTTTTTCTTAGTAAACTGTGGGGTGATAAACCTTAGCACTTGCTTTTTTATTCATTCTGTTGGAGAGGAGTGTCAGAATATCAATACGCAGTGTATTCTCAAAGAACGGATATGTATACGAATGTAGCAAGAAGCAGTATTGAAATGTTGTCTCGTAGCTCACTCTCATGCTACACACCCTCCCTCATACGACTACAGATATATACATATGTCTGATACAGATATGTGGCTGTGTATATGTATTGTGCACAAGTACAATATACCAAGCCCAACATATTTTGTAGATACATAGGAATAGTAGCGTATTCTCGTCAAGAATACGCCAAGCACAGCAAGTTTTTAGAAAATAGCCGTTTTTTGAGAATACACTGTGTATTGATATTCTGACATCTTTGCTATTGGGTGCCACTAACATTGTTTGTTATCTGAACCACAACAGATGAAAAGTTCAGGTTCTCGGAAGCTGAGTCCTCATCATTGCAAAAAATGAATATTTACGATGTACCCACAAGTGCATACTACACAAACACTGACCTATATCACTATAAATCGTGCTTCGATAAACCAGTCCGTCAAGGCACACTTTGTTACAAACAGCATACACATAAATTAGGATGTCTCGTAGACTTTACCTTTAGCTGTTTTCACAAGCATTTAAACTTTGAACAAAGTGTATCCGCACGACGATGATTCAAACTAACCTAAAAAATAGCACTATTGTGATGAGATTAATAGTTGAAGACTTTTAGAATTTTGTGTAAGTTCTTTCTCGCAAAACTAGGGTCCAAAAGGTACAGAAACTAAGAAATTTTTATACTACATACACAACCAAAAATTCACCCTCATAGCTTTTAACTCGCTCTGCCGTTTATACTTTCTTTTGTTCTTTCAAACTAAAATAGTTTTCTTTTCAAGTTTTCAGTTGAATAGTTTCATGGTTTTAATGTTTTTTCTATTTTCTTTTGTTTCACTTCTGCAGTCATTTGATTTTGATTATCTTTCGTCCTTTTTTTAATTTTTAGATGTCAACTGGAGCGATGGCCACAACAGCCAGCACGATTCCAGATCAAATGAAAAAATTTATTGATGACGAGAAACAAAATTTTCAACAAATCAGTACAAATTTCACGGCACGCCATTTTCAATTTCCCACAAAATCGCAAAGAAAGATTGATGTTGTTCAACTAATGTCGGAATACGAAGGAAATTTTTTAACAGCCATTTGCTATATGTAAATCATCCTCATAGTTAATGATGAGTCATATCGTTATCATTTGTTCTTTCTGTAGTCGATTTCTACTTGGTCGTGCTTCAAAGTTCATCCGACTTATCGATGAGATAGGAACCGTAAGAACAAAATGCAAATAATAAATATTTAATCAAAAAATATCTTTTTAAAAAGTATTTTATTTGCAGCTTCCCAGCGCCTATGAACTTAATCGTTTAACCTGTTTGGCAACGTATAACGATTTTATTCAACGTTACTCTGACATAATGTCAGCTATACAAACACATGAAAATACGTGCGGTAAGGTTTATAAATCTGTTTATACTTTGTTTCACCTTTCTGTTTGTTTTTAGGACGTTCTTTTCGTCGATCGGTTGAACGAATGATTCCAACGATAGCTCATGTACCGATCAATTTACACTTACAGCAATTGCTTGTGATGGAAGGAGATGATAGTTAGGTTTCTCTTTTCTGTTACTCATTTATTTCATTTTAATTTCATTCATTCAGAATATATCTACAATACCGTGACACTTGGCGCACCAGCCGTTCATCATTCTCAGTTTACTAACGGTGGATTATCTCGTATAAAATCGAATATCATTGTGACAAATGCAAGATTGAAAAGTTTACAAGATAATTTCCAAGATGTTTTGATTCTCAATTCGGATATTGATGATGCACTCGATCATCTATGTCAAATAATTGAAAGTCCATCGACATCAGTTGAACATAATGTTTTACAAATGTCTTTACAACGTGTTGTTGCGGCAGTAGGTTATTGGTTTTTTTATTTTGTTTAATTTTATTTCATAAATCATATTGTTATCTTGATTCTCACAGGTATTATCATTACTCAATTATTCTACTGTTGATTTGTCTCAAATACAGACGCATGTTGAAGGATCAGGTTTAATAAATAGAAGTCCTATTGTAAAAGAGATGACTGATCCAGAAACAACAGCAAATGATTTGATTCAAAATATGGTATAATAACGTGTACATCGTGCGAAATCTCATATCTCAATTATTAATATTTGTTGTTACAGAAAAGTATACAAACAAAAGCAGAAAAATTATTACAACAAGTTAAATCATCTAGTAAAGAAGCAAAGGCGTTTGATCGAGAACAATTAGAAAATTTAAAATCTGTTGCAAATGAACTTGAAAAGTCAACATTGAAACTTATTTTAAGACAAATATTCACGGTATGTATAGTTATAGATTCACATTTCTAAATAGTGGTGCAAGTATAGCTTTGCGTAGCCTAACAAGCTCCACGGTTATTGTGATAATAATACGTTACCAGTTTGATTGTATCTCTACAGCTCCAAAAATAGTGGAGTACTGAGACAATAATAATTCTTTAACAAGTTGTTCGTATCGAACTCAAATCAGTAAGTTCTTAGGGAATGTGGTTGTATGAGAGAGTAAGTTTGTAGCATGGAAATTGCCTAGATTTACACCATCCTACTTTCATCTATTCTTCTACATAGACGGTAAAAACTAACAAAACACTAGATTCATACGTTAAGATAAGAATGTAGAAATCAATGTGTTTTGGTACTCATGAAAAACGGTCGTTTATTGTCGACATATAAATGTCCCCATTTTCAACATAAATAATAAGTTTTCATTTTGATTGCGTATAGAAAAAAGTCCAAATTTAAATTATTTCGAGTGCTATTGAGATAATCGCCCGTTTCAACTATTATTATTTTCATTTTAGGAAGGATCTGAAATAGAATCTTATCCACAAGCTTATCGTGAACGTTTCGATATAGCCTTTTCACAGTCTGTAAGTGAAAACGAAAAAAAATTCGATAAAATTAAATGTATATATGCGTTTTTTATTTTTATTCTTTCCAACAGCTTATCTGTCTCATATTTTCAATGTACGTTTTATTGTCATCGGTGAAAATTAGTGAACAATCATGGAATCTGTATGTTAAACACGGTAAGTACTTTTTTCTTTCGTTTTTTCTTCTCTCTTTGATTGCTGACATTGATATGTAAACATTCAGAACTAGAGAAGAAGAAAAAAAGTAAAGAAAAAAGAGGGATATATTATTATTATTATTATTATTATTATTTTGCTTAAAAAAAACTTTTAACATTTTGATAAAAAATTTAATTTGTTGAATCTTCCACGTCGTGTGCGAAATTATGTTTACTGTATTAAAATCAATTGATAATTTATTGGGAAAATTTGATGAATTATCTCAGCGGCATCAAAATTTGATTAACGCATTCCAGTCTGACTTACCAGATGTTGAGAGTCCCTTGCGTGATATTACACGTGACGGAGAAAGACCGATTATTCAAGATACACCACCGGCATTTTTTCATGTGGATACTACTAGTGATTTTGTACAACGGGTTAAAAAAATAAAAAGTAGTACACAAAAAACACCACCTAGATATACTCTGACAACAGGAACATTGAACGATACGCGAGTGAATCGTATATCATCTGGAAAATCATCAACAACGATGACAACAACAGATTCTGATATTATCCACTATCCAACAACAACTGTTGTGGAACCAACAAAAACTTCGGCACCAGTACATAATTTTGCGTTTATACAGTCGGCTGCTACTTTGAAACGTCGAAATATACAGACAAATGATCGAACAGCTATACCGATTCCTAATGAGCCAACAACATCAAAAGTCAAACGGACACCTTTTCATGCTGGTGGTATCTATCGTTCAGAAGCACTTCCACCTGTCTTACCACGTCTTATAATTCGCAGTGCAGTGACAACAGCAACCATAAATCGTCTAGCTCGACGTGACACTTCAAAACACAAACGACCGCCATCTAAACCAAGACCGTTTCTTGTTAAACAACGATTTCCAGTTCGTCACTCAAAATCAGCAGTACCTCAAACACACGTGAAACGTTCCACAACAATAACAAATTCGAGACCACATAAGAAGATCAAAGTTGAAAAAATAGTGGCACCTACGAAAATAATCACGAACACTTTTCAACCAAACATATTAACATCATCTACAAAAATAGTATCAAATAAGCCAAGAATTATATCAGCTAAAACATTATGATTACAAAGTATTAATAAAAAAATTAACTTTTAATTCATATATAAATACAATACATGAATGAAAATGAATGTTATGCTCATATTGACATAATTTGATGTAATTCTTAAATATGATGAACTTCCGATATGTTTTAGATTGTACAAAATGAAATATAAAATATGTTAATTTGATAGAGAAAGCATTGAATTACTCGAGATTTTGTTAAATAAGAAATTAATAAATTATCTTTTTTGACTGATGTTTTTCGAGACATAGATACTATTTATCGATCGTTATATACAGAGTGGCACATAACCTTTGCCTCCCTCTCTCTAGAACCTAAAGAACAGATAATATCACAATGTATTTATACCAGATTAAAGCGCGTCAAAAACTGGATTCATTGGCACTAAATAGTAAAGGTTATGAAGACGTTTTCATGTCGCACTTAAGAAATTTTCAGAAATTTGATACTTTTTTGGTGAAGAAAAGTAAGGTGCCAG